TCTTAATCCAGCATTGTTAAGACTTAATAGTTAATACATAAAAATACTAAGCCTAGCTTAACTGTAAATCATTAATGAGTTTATTAATGTGTTTAGGATACTTGGTAAATTAGTTATATTTTTATTTTATTATTATTATATATAATGATTATAAATGTAATATTGTATGATTCACTTGTATAACTCATATGTGTGGGTGAAGACTGGTAATTCCTATTTTTTTCTCCCAAAAAAAAATAAAATAATTGCTGTACTAGATATAACATGATATTTTATTTATAATACTTGATATTTCCTATTATTAAAAAATAAAATATATTTTAAATCTAATATGTTTTACTTATAAAAAACAAATACTATACAATTAATATATTAATAAATAATATTATATTATAATAATTATGCTACTGCATATTAAAGGAAACTAGTTAATTTGTTAGTAACTTMGTTAAAAGTAATTTAATTTAGATTATTTCACACATCCAAAATGTTGACTAGTTACCTACCTATTATTTATTTTATATTATTATTATTTTGTTTAAAGACCAACTGATACAGAAAAAGGAATCAGAGATCAGACACGTTACAACTTATTGGATCGCAAAAAAGAAATTCTTAAGGGTCTTGAGGTCAACACACACGAAGGAGACTTTACTAAGGATTTTCCCAGTTATATTATTCGATGCACTAAAAGTAAACCTGTCATAAAGTTTAGTGAAAATCCAGCAAATGCCACTTATCATCTTCAGAACAGGCAACAAATGTTTGCTACACTTCTTCCAGAAATTGAAGCAATTGTTCTCAAGTTCTTATCTGCAATGAAACCAAAAAAGTAAAATATATATATTAATCAATTAAGGGTTGATAGTGTTGATCCTATTATTAATCCCTTAAAAAATAAATTATATTGATAATGATTTAACAAAATATTGAACTATGTAATATTGATTTTATAATATACAGATAAGCTATCCTATTGTTTATATTGGAAGCAACTTAATGCATTCAACAATAGGTTTGTCGGTTCTGTTAACTTTGGATGCGGTTGAATACAATAAATTGCTCCAAAATTAATAATTGGTTAAATAGGTTYAAAGTAATGCACAAGCAGTCTCGGCAGTGCCTTAGATACTATGAGAAAAAAAAAGAATGTGTTGTCTGTTAATCTGTAAAAGCAATGGTAATTACTGATATCATATACTTTGACCCACAAGATAATGACTAGGGCTTTCAGTGTTCCAATTGTTACTTTTGCTCTGAATTCTTCGCTCTAGTACAATCTGTTAGCGTATATACTATAACTATATTAACTGTACGTTCACAATTACTGACTGATGGTAAACTACTAAATCTTGTTACTAGATGAGTTCTGATTAATGCATTAGTTGTAATTTCATGGCTAAACACATTTCTACAACTACTTTAAATCTCAAATTGTGATTAGCCTAGTGACATTCTAATAAATTTGTCTTGGGTGAAGGGGGTTGTTTTCTTAACMTACACTATTAATTGATTTATATTAAAAATATAATAAATGGTTATATGATCATAACACGCTTATAAAAAATTTTAGAGAAGAGGGATTTATCCCAATTTGTGTCACTGAGTTTGTCAATTTTATTTTATTATGTTATAAATTATAAATTATATTTTTTTTTTTTTAGGCTTAAAGAAATTCATGCTGACAATAATTATAACAGCATAGATGAAAAACTTTTAGTTATGATGAAAGATAAAAATATTTATCCATTCAAAGGTTGGTGGCCAAAAACAAGTTTTATTGTTACTCAAGTCAAAGAAGATCCAAATGTTGAAATAGATGAAGAAGTGTTAATGAATGAAATCACAATTAGTAAACGAACTAAAAAATCTAGATTCAATGATGATACATCTCTTGTTGAATTAAGACCTACTGTTCCATCTAAATGGGATAGTGATTATGATGGTAGTCCAGCTGCTGAAAATAAAGTAGCATATGTTGAAGTTACTCATGGTGTAGAAATGAATACTAATGATAATGTCTGCTCAATCAAAAGAGAAGAAAACAATCTTTTGGATATAAGCCACCAGGAAGAAGCAATGGACACTGCATCTGATGTTGGTGAAGATGAACCAAAAATTGAAGTGAATGAATGTCCAGTTCTTCCAGTTGAGATTCAAGAAGAACAAGGACACACTAAATTAAATACAGAATATGAAGAGTTTTTGAAAATTGTAAAAGCTGATAAGGAAGAAACTGACATTTCTATTTCTACCACTGCTACTAATGTAACTAYTCTTAAAGATAACGAAAATAACCTATCAATGAAGTCTGTGTCATTGAATAATGATTCTATACAAGACGAGTCTGAAGATTATATGTCCACTAAGTCGTCAGATGAATCTGTTTCATTACAAAATGCTGCCGAGGAGTCAAATGATCGATCATTTATTGAAGAATTATCTTCTATTGATTTAAAACATCGAAAAAAGAAAAAATCTTCTAGTAAAAAGTCTAAAACATTTAAGAATAAAGGAAGTAAAAAAAAGAGGCGTAAATCAAGTTCTAGTGAAAGTTCACAAGATTCTGAATCAGAAAGTAATAGTAGTTCAGATGATAGTGATTCTGAATCAACCGATTCTACTTCTACAGTTGAGAAAAAGAAAAAAAACAAATCAAAAAATAAAAGAAAAAAAAAATCCAAAAAAAATTACAAAAAGAAACACAGGAGTGATAAAAATAAGACTAAAAGTCCCGAAGATGAAAAAGATGCTAATAGTAGTATTCTCAACTTAATTGAAAAAGCATTGAATGTTGAAATTAAAAAGAGACCTTCGGATAGTAAAGAACCTAAACATAAGAAGAAGAAAAGGAAACACGAAAAAAAAGAAAATAAATCAAATGAAGAGAATGATGAAAAATTTGAAAAAGTTAAGGATTGTTTGAAAGAAACAATTACAAAATTGGTTAAAACTGATAAAGTGAATAAAAGTCAGTCTCTATCATGTGATGACACTGTCATTGAAGTATTAAAATATTTAAATGACAAAGAAAAAAAGAATAAAAAATCAAAGAAAAGTTTGAAAAGAAAGCACGAATCAGATATTTCTGATGACGARGAAACTCCCAAAAAATCTAGATTAATTGATAGTTGTTCAAAATCTAAAGTTAACGATAAGAAAAAAAAGAGTAAAAATAGAAAATCTGTTGATTCAGACGAACAAATTATGATAAAAAAAAAGTCTAAAAAAAAATCTAAAACTACTAATACTTCAGAGGCTGTTGATATAGAGGTATTAAACCATAGTAAAAATAAAAATGATTCAGTTCAGTTTTTTGAATTGCGACCCAATGAGTGGAACATAAATAAAAAAAGTTCCAGGAGGGGAGTCGTCCATCACTCGGAAGTAAAAATTAAAAATAAAACATCACCTTTACATAATGCCAGTAAGTCTAATAATAAYGATAGAAAAAAAAAATCTGATTCCCTTAATTTGAAAGATAAATGTCCTCCTACAAAAAAAAGTAAAAATAAATTGCTTAATGTATTTCAAGACCACATTGATGAAAAAGAAAGTAAAAAACTATTGAATGAGCCCGACAAAAATATTACAAGTGATAACATAGTCAATACTTCAAAAAATATAAATGATGAAGAAAAAATTTTAATTAATTTTAAAAACTCTGACATCGAATCTAATGAAGAAAAACATTGTATTGAAGAAAATGATGAAATGTTAAACGAATTTGTTGTTAAGTTTCCTAATGATATATTTACACTGAAAAATGACAATAAAGATCCTAAGAGTATTATTGTACCACAAACACAAAGCACTCCATCTATTGATCTTTATGATAAACCTCCTATTACTTGTACTGTTATTAAACCTGTTACAGAAGCTATATCGTATAGAGATAAAGTAAAAATGAATTTAAAGAAACTTTCAACTTGTCAAAATATACCATTTGGATTTGGATTTTCTTCACCAATTAGCCTTATTAAATTTGATAAAAGCAAAGATCTTAAAGTGACCAAAGAGGAAGAAATATCTAATGAAGTTGARCCAAAAGTAGACAATCTAAAAGTTAATGAAACACAACTTTTAAAGCTTGATGAACCTAAAGTAGTTAATCTTTCTCAAACTCAAATGGAAAAACCTGATGAAATCAAAAAAGAATTACTTAAAATCCATACTGAAACTAACAATAAAGTATTTGATCATAGTTATGATTGGGATGATTCTGAAGAATCCGATATTGACCAACCACTTATTACAAGCACTAACACGTCAGAACATTCAACTGATGAAAGAGTAAGTGAACAGATTAATTCAAATTTGTTGAAAAATGACTTACCAACTATATCTAACAAAAATGAAATATCCTCAAATCATAGTGAATTTAAAGAACTTGAGGATATTACATCTAATGTGTTAGAAACAAATATTTATTCAGATTCAGTTATCAAAGAACAAGAAATTCCTTTAGAAGTTGACAATTTTGCTATAGAAAAAGAAGTAAACACCTTGTCRAATTTGTCTGATTTTTCTGAACAACAACTAGGTGTTAGTACTGAAATTTTGCAAAATGATGTTATATCAGTTAAAATGGAGAAAGAAAATTCAGATTCTATGTGTTCACAAAAGTCTATTATCGAGATACGAGGAGTTTCTAAATCCAATAATGAACTGATTACTCAATGGAAATCAGATTGGATTAATTTGGATAAGTCAGTTACTGAAATTAACCATTCAAGCAAATGTAAATCTGGGGATGAAGATTTATCATTGAAAAAGAAATCTCGCTGGGATAAACAACCTATAGATAGTAAAATAAGTAAATCACAGGATTTTAATAATAGACATGAAGAGTTTAAGGATGAAACTGAAACAAGCATCTTAACTGATGAAATAAAACATACTCCATCTAACAATGAAGATCTCAGTAACGAAGAAAACCAAGCATGTGAAATAATGTCAATAAATTGCATAAATGATTATCATGAAATTCATCCATATGTATATGATGATTATTCTCAAACTTATGAACAATATACTGGTATACCTATGTACTCTGAAATGAAAACTATTGAACATGATTTACTTAGTCCAATTGATTATAGTGTGTATGAAAACTTTAATCCAAATTATAATTACCATACTGAAGATTACGACATGTGGAAATCTTTAGACACCGATACATCTGAACATGGGATGATAAAAGCCATTCCAACAACCGATGAAACAGTTTCACAAGTAAGAT